ACGCGGGGATGCCAAGAGACATGTGAAAATACAATGTTCAAAGGAAATTCAACAGTCGAAATGAATGCTGTGAAATGAAGATACCATAAGTGTCGATCTATCGTCGATCCCTGTGGGGAAGTCTATCGCATTGGATTTCCTTTAGTGCGGAAGGTCGAAAATGTGAAGCCTCGGTTAGAATGGGATATCCTAAATGTGCTAAACGCTGTTGATGAACTATTTTAATATAATCCGAGAATCACCCCTTTACCCTCCGACATAAAATATCCCCTCACATCATCCATCCCCTCCCAAAAAGCAACAATGTCTACCCTTAACCTCATCGCCGATTACTCCCAAATGGTTCTATCTCACCTTCCAGGACCCACCCGACATCTCTTCCGCAACCCAACAGCCCAAAAGGCCGTCGGAATTCTCGCCGCCCTCACCTTCCTCCGCGCCACAAACGACTTCTTTTCAAGACGCACCCTACAAAACTGGACCTCCAACCAACCATGGATCCCGGCACGCGAGCTCATCCTACTAACGGGCGGCTGCAGCGGAATCGGCAGGCAGGTCATGGAAGACCTCGCGCGCACAGGCGTGCGCGTCATCATCCTCGATATTAATGAGCCAACTTTCACACTACCGACTAACGTCACCTTCTACAAGGCGAATGTCAGTTCCTCGGCGGATATCGCCAATGTCGCGAGCAAGATCCGTGACAATCACGGCGAGCCCACGGTCTTGATTAATAACGCTGGCGTTGGACACGAGGGGGCAATCCTCGATGAATCCGAGGAGAATATTCGGCAGACTTTCGAGGTCAATACCCTCTCCCATTTCCTTATGATTAAGGAGTTCTTGCCGGCTATGGTGAAGGCGAATCATGGTCATGTTGTCACTATTGCTAGTATGGCGAGTTTTGTGGCTCTCGGTGAGATGGTGGATTATTGTTGCACCAAGGCCAGTGCGCTTGCTTTCCATGAGGGGCTGCGTCAGGAATTGAAGTATTGGTATAATGCGCCCAGTGTGCGCACTAGGTGAGTTATTCTCGGGTTATGTATCTGTAGATTTTGCTAATTATTGCTTTAGTATTATTCACCCTGCGTGGGTGCGTACGCCTATGATCAAGATGCTCACAGACAACGAGGCGCATTTCAGAGAGTCTATCATGACCACACAGGTCGTGTCTGACGCTATCTGCAAGCAAATCTTGACTCAGACTAGTGGCCAGGTTCTTTTGCCTGCCAGTAAGTCGGTAGCTACTTTGGTGCGCGCTATGCCAACCTGGATGCAGGAGGGTGTGCGCAATTTCGCGTCGGGCTCCTTGAAGAAGATGCGTGTTCTGCAGGCAGAGGAGAAGGCCCAGGCGCAGTAGATATTCTGCTTTGGAAATGATTGGAGACGTGATTATGTCGTCATTTTGGATTTTATGTTGGGGATGGATATATGCTATCCCATCGAGTGATAATACAGTTGATATATAATATTGAAGTTATTCTAAGACGCCGACGGCTTCTATCATGATATCCATGGGCTGCAGAAGTCACCATCGAGACACGGAATATGTGTGTAAAACACTAACTATTCTATATGTACCCAATCCATGTATGTACAGACAGCGTTACTATATACAATCACACCATCAACTCGGCCAAAACTGCCTCAACCTTCTTCCCCTGCTCCGTCTTTGTAACATCGCCCAGCTCTAAGTGATAAATCGGCGCAACATGACACTCACGATGCCCAACAAACAATTCAACATTCTCAAAGCCCTCCTTAAACTTCGCCGCGAAGTCTTGAATCAGAGGCAACATGATCTCATTCCCGCCTGCGGTAATTAACACCGAGTTCACCGGGAACGCCGTAAACCAATCTGCCGGCGCAGTCGATAAATCCGTGTAATAGTCACGCTTGCCAGCACCAATATAGGCTGTCACCCACGGTCCCGCAACCGCCGTCGTAATGATATCGCCATCGCTATAGACCTCCATGCCCGGGAATTCTTTCTCGAGAAGGGTCCACGGTGCAATCATCACTGCGCCGCCGAGGTTGCCGCGAAAAGGCAGGGAATCGATCTCTGCGTGTGGGTGGGCCAGATGAGAGAGAACTCCACCAACCAGGTTGCCGCCTGCGGAGTCGCCGCCCAGGAAAATCGTGGACGGGTCGCGGTTTGGTTGCGAAAGAATGTATCGTAGGCAATTCACGGCCTGTCGGAGTTGAGTCGGGTAGACTGCGATTGGCGCCAGCGTATAGGTCAGACTGAAGACAGCGACGCTTTTGCCTGATGCTTCAAGGTCGTGAATGAGCTGCGCGTAGAATTTGAAATAACCCATGTTGGCGGGGAGCCCGAAGCCACCTCCTGAATGATGGTTAGTGGTGGTCAATTGAATAGGGGTCTTTCTTTGCTGGCTGTACACATACCGTGGATCCAGACTACCACATTGTCAGCATTCGGATCACCCATCCAGTGGCCTAATGCTCCATCGCCCAAGTCCACGGACTCGGGTAGCCCACCGGTCTCCTTGGAGTGTTGCTCATAGATCTTGTGGGATGGCGGTAGGATGTACTGCATCTGAGTGGCAGTCAGCCGCGAGCTCGCCTTGCGGAACAGTGCATATCCCAAATGCAGGGACAAAGATTTGGCTTGGCGTTCGGTGCGTCGAAGGCCCGTCAGGAGAGCATAGACATAGGCAACCACAATGGAAGCCACAGCTGGGAGGAAGTCCAGTTTCTCTTTTATGGAGAGGTTGACTTTGGTTACTTTAGTGACAGACATGATTGGAATCTCCCACTTATGACTTGAGGCCCTAAGTATATTTCAGCCCGTATAAGTGTGAAAGTGAAGTGTTGATCCTCTCGCAAGCCTATCCCGTTTAGGAAGGTGCCGAGGTTTAGAAGATTTCTCGGTCTCCATGTCCTTGGGATTAGCTATATCTTCTATTCTTTCTGCATCTCTAGATCTCTATAACTAGGGGTATCGGGGAATAGATCTATAGATCTATATCTGTGTAGATCTTACATTTACATCCATCGGAGAACGATCTGTATAACTTCCAAGGTCTCTTGTATTTACTAACTTCGAGAATCATGGCATTCTACACGATATAAACACGTACAGAGTACCACTATGAATCCCATGCAACTCCCCGATCTCCCCGTGTACATTTTAAGGTTTTGCGTGTTGTTTACCCCAAAGTCGACGGTGTCGATCTGCCGAATAAAGGGTTGTGAAACCGAGGCATGTCAACATTCTTTTTAAATAACCTCAATGCTGTTCACTGTTCAGTAATTGTTCATTTGATCCCATTCATCCATCATGAGTGGACTCAATGAAACAAACGAAGCTAGGCACTTCGATGTCATCATCGTCGGCGCGGGTATCTCCGGCGTCAATGCCGCCTACCGCGTCCAAGACCAACTCCCCGGCTACAGCTACACCATCCTAGAAGCTCGCGCCGATCTAGGTGGCACCTGGGATCTCTTCAAATATCCTGGTATCCGTTCCGACTCCGATCTTTTCACCTTCGGCTTCCAATTCAATCCCTGGACCCTCGATAACCCCATCGCAGAGGGTTCTGCCATCAAGCAGTACGTGCGCGATACCGCGACCAAATTTGGCATCGACAAACACATCCTCTACAACCATCGTGTGTCATCGGCAGACTGGTCGTCCGATAAAAACATCTGGTCGCTCGCCGTCGACCACAATGACTCCGAACACACATACACCGCCCGCTATGTCATCTTTGGCACGGGTTACTACAACTACAAGGATCCCCTGAAAGCCGACATTCCCGGCCTGGACGCCTTCCAGGGCCAGGTCATCCACCCACAGTTCTGGCCCGAAGACTTGCAGTATAAGGACAAGACGATCGTTATCATCGGCTCGGGCGCGACCGCCATCACCCTCCTCCCCAATCTCGCCGACGATGCCGCCCGTGTCACAATGCTCCAGCGCAGCCCTACCTACATCCTCTCCGTCCCAAACCGCTCCAGCAACCGATGGCTCTCCTACATCCTCTCCAATGCCCTGTATCTCAGGTTGCAACGCATGATCTCGATCTATACAACCCGCTATTTCTTTCTCTTCTGTCAGCGCTTCCCGAATTTCTCCCGCTGGTTGCTCAAGTTGAACGTGCGCAAGCAACTGCCCAGCCATATCCCCTATGACCCCCATTTCAAGCCCAAATACAACCCCTGGGACCAACGATTGTGTGTTTGTCCCGATGGGGATCTGTTCCGCAGTCTCCGGCAGGGCAAGGCGGATGTCAAGACCGATACTATTCGAGAGGTTACGAAGAACGGTATTATCTTGGATTCGGGTGAGCAGCTTGAGGCAGATATTATTATTACTGCTACTGGCTTGCGATTGCAGATTGTAGGTGGCGCGGCGCTGTCTGTGGACGGGAAGAAGATCGACGTGGGTGGTAAATATCTGTGGAATGGAGTCATGCTCCAGGATATGCCTAATGCCGCTTTCGTTATTGGGTATACTAATGCCTCGTGGACTCTCGGTGCGGATGCTACGGCGCATTTTGTCTGTCGCCTGCTCAAGGAGCTTGAGTCGCGGAAGTTGGTCGCTGCTGTTCCTCGGCTGAAGGAGACGGATGCAGCTACGATCCAGGATCGTCCTCTCTTGAACATCAAGGCGACTTACGTGTCGCTTGCTGATCGCATTTTACCCAGGGCTGCGGACCGTGGTCCGTGGCGCCCGCGTGATAACTACTTGAGCGACTTGAAGTTCGCTCAGAGTGGTGATATTGAGACCGGAATGGAGTTCGTGCAAGGACCGAATCTGCGGTTACGCCCGAAGATGTCGTGATTGATGCATGTTTATGATATGATACCGACCCATGCATTATGATTGAGGTTCTTTGATTCAGTGTAAATATGGTGTTTGATGAGGCTCAGTAACAATATGTTCATTCCTATTCTTCAGCTGCGCAATCTCCCTTAGTGTCCGTTGGACTATGCATGCTGCACTTTCGCACAGCGTCACCATTGTCAACTAATGCCTATGATTTTGCATCTATCGGACTCGCACATACACTTATATTCCCAAAATACCACCCATGGTTAGAATTGGGCCACCTCAAATCTCGATCCGAACCAGCATTCCCCACCTTACTATTGATCCCTTCAATATACTCCACCCCATCAGTGGTGACCTGTACCCCAGTCTTCTGAGTGATCCAGTATTCGGGCGAAGGCTGGCTCCAATCAAAGAATGGCAGATTGAGCGGCACTTTCGGTATGGGGTCTGTAGTATGTGTGGCTCGGTATATGCTGTTTGGCGCTTGTTGGTTGGTGATGAACTCGGCCAGCTTCAAGTTTCCTGGTTTGGGGCCTCCGAATATCCACTGGTGGTTTGTATGCGTTAGCTGGAATCTACACTGCTTGCTTGTTTTCCAAGTTGACTTACAATATCCAGACTGAACCCCTTTGTTCGTAGAACAGTTCTAATGCCGCAATACCCCCACCTAGACTGTGTCCTACGACACTCAGTCTATAACTCGGATACGCGTTCGTTGCATTGTGAAGCTGGGATGTTGCCTGAGCCGCTACAGCGCTCCAGTAAGCCCAGAACCCATGATGGGCTTTGCATCCGGTGCACACGTCGCTAACCGGGGTGAGAGCGATATCGAGATCTGTGTGGCCATCGCTTTTGGATACCGTTCCGCGGAATGTTAGGACGATCAGTTCCCGCGTGTGGTCTAGGGCGATGTAGCCTGTTGGGCCGTGATCACTGTAGAATGTGTGGATTACCGTTGTGTTGTCGGCTGCTACGAGCGGACAGTTGCCATAGTCGCAGGTCAGACTTTGGCCTGTGTGGTTGATGTTCTGGTCGCAGGCGGATAGGGTCGCGAACTGTGAGAATAGGGTGAATCTTTCTAATAGCTCCGTTGAGATTGCTGGTACATTTGATCGTCAGATTGGAAATTTGGAAAATTTGCTTTGTCTATGTGAGGCTTACCCCGGCGAGCTAGTTGAACAGGAGATGCAATGGATGTCACGCTCAATGATAACAGTGCAAGAATCATTGACCCAACCATATTGGATGATACTTCGCAAGTACCACCAATCTATCATAGGCGCCTGTTCTTTTGATCTCTGGGAAATGAGCCTATATTTATAGGTTTCTTTCCCACCGTCAACAACAGCCCATCTATGGAATGTTGCCTAATAGAGAAGGAGTAATGGCCGCAGGATTCAATCCCACGATGCACCGTGATGACTGTATAACAGCTGAGTTATTGGCGGCACTAACCTTGCACCCGGAGGATAATTCGATTCTAGAGCTGAGAGAACAAATGATTATATGCCATTGAAACGATCAAAATTCTATAATATGATACATACATTCCACCCGTACATATCCTATAAACCAAAACATTCAAAATATGTCGGACAGTGGGAACAATTCACAGCGTCCTCATATGCATACCGGATGAGATTTTCTCCTTTCCTTCTTAGCCTGCTCTCCTCTTGTCCATTTTAGGCAAATACATGAATTTGTGATTGGTATGTTCTTCAGCTGGCATGTTGCATATTTGCCATCAATAGCACGACTACCACATGTGGGCTCAAAGTGGGTAATTTCTCGAGGCTAGATCCTTGGCGAGGTAGGGATTATTCTCCAATAGGTTAAGATTTACATGCAGGACTCCTATATCGAGAATCATGTGAAGATTAGATGTCTCACAGTGATGCAGCCCGCAGATTGTACGCTAATGCGTCTACAACCGATAGATCGTCGGCTCCACCTTAGATCTCAATACTACTGTAGTATTCAGGTGGATTCGCGCATGGTACGAGTTTGATCCACCCCGACCTCCAGCATGGTAAAGACGAATCCTCCTAGTACATAGATCGCCTAGGGCATGTAAGAGAAGGAATTGTGACTGGACACTGGAACATCAAGAAAGGGAAGAGGCCTTGGATGCTAGGCATCTTTCCGTTCATGTATGTTACATCATAGCCATATTGCTCCGTATAATCGTTCCGTATAATCTTCCAGCAAGAAATAGAATTTAACTTTCGGAAAAGATTTAAGGTTAAACCACAGCGGGGTTGATTTCATCAATTCAACCAGGGAACAGTACAACCTAACATTCCGGGATGATGTAACTCGATGACACCATTTGATATGTCATGATTTGAGGAGTAGCTAACTATAAGGCGTTGACTTAGCCAGTCGCTTTCTCGTTTTACTTTCACTACACCACACTACACAACCAATTTAAATCCCTAAGCCGTCTTGATGCCCCCCAAAGAGAAATATACCGATCCCGAACTCAGGGATGAAATCAAAAAAGAAGTCCACAATAGTGACAAAGGTGGGAAACCAGGACAATGGTCTGCACGAAAGGTATCCAACACGATTACACTCCCATTACGTATAGTCTCTGATACACATGCAGGCACAAATGATAGCGTCGGAATATAAAAAACGCGGCGGCGGTTACAATACCACAAAGGAAGAAGGCCAGACGGAATCTCAGAAACACCTCGATAACTGGACAAAAGAGGAATGGCAGACGAAGGAGGGATCAGGTACGGCGCGACAGGATGATGACTCGCGTAAACGGTACCTGCCTAAGAAGGCGTGGGAGAATTTGAATGAAAAGGAAAAGGACGAGACAGACGAGAAGAAGGTTGAGGAGTCACAGGGTGGGAAGCAGTTTGTTAGCAACACCGCGAAGGCAAAGGAGGCGAGACGGAGGGCCAGTTCTGATGTTAAGGATGAGAGTTAGATGGAGATTCGGAGAAACTCGACGACGAGAAAGGTGGTGCAGGAACCAAACACAATGCGAAGCAGGATGCAACACCAAAACAGAAACAGGATGCAAAGTCTGCAGAAGAGAAATCAAACCCTCAACTAAGCTCGATTGGCTCCTCCAAATGCGCATTTGGTCGATGCTATTGACGAAACAGGAGCGATAAATCCAAAAGGGTAAAAGGCACAGTCCCCAAGAAGGCAACAAAACAATGACCTACAAATGAACGAAATTGATTCAACGAAATATCATTTCAATGGGTATCCATGGTCTTGAAGCTATACTTGTTTTATGTTCATATTTGGCCAATCACGCCAGGATATTAACCCCAAATCATCCATATATACCATTACATCATCTTGACATATCTCTTCGATACAAAAATAATCTTTTCACTTCCGTTCCTCATCCACAACCGTGTGGGGAGTGAATTCGCTATCTGGCAACATGTTCATGCTGTCCTCCTCTGCGTCCAATTTGTAATTGGTGGCCCAGAATCCAATACCGCCCACGAAGGCGAGGATGGCAACCACGGTGTAGTTCCAAGTCAAGAGAGGATCCACAGCCAGACCAATGAAAGCCTGACCAATCGCAGACGAGAAGGCGTTCATCAGGAGGGACACGGCCTGCACGAGGGATCGCATGTTCTTTGGGGCCTTGGTGTAGGCATACTCAAGCGAAGTCACGGATGCAAGGATCTCGGAAATACCACCCATGATGTAGGTCAGGGCCTGAACCCAAACGGAGATGTTGGTGTATTCGTGTTTCACCTCCAGGCAGTAGTTGGCCTCGTTACCGCAGGGTCCCAGCTTGTAGATGTAGTATTGGGTGACCGCAGCAACGACCATACTGAGGGAGGCCACGATAAAACCGGCCGTGATACGCTTCAAGGGAGTGAAGTTGAACCCCATCTTGCGTAGACCAGGGTAAACGAGCTGGTCGAAGATGGGAATGAAGATGATCAGTGAAATGGGGTTGAGGTTGTTGATGATGTCGTTGGGCACTCCTCCAAGTTTCATGGTGGCCGCTTGAGACGTCAGGTTGTTCATCATCTGGTTATAAGCGAGCCCTAAAGATGGTCAGCTTGTGTGAATACAGTATATAGGAAGTGTCCACGTACAGTAAAGAGGGTACCACAAAAACACTCTGCAGGCGAGCAGTCCTCGTCGAACTTCATCAACCCACGCATCATCAAAGTCCATCCACGCGGGCTTGTTGGCCCCAAAGTTGCTGGGCTTGGCGGCGGCCCACATATCGGTATCAGAGTTCCGGAACCTACAAAAAATCAAGGTCAGTAGGTGTAACATTCGGAGTTGACGGGATGCGGCTTACCATCGCACGGGGTTCAGGGTCCAGTGGCCCTTCATTGCCAATTTCCACACCTTGAAAGCTTTGGGGTAGATTGATCCACTGGGCGGGGTGAGGATATAGTGCTTCTTGCATATGATCAACACCGCAGGACACACGCAGAACATGGCAGTGGGGAGAAGGTAAGAGAGCCAGAAACCAACATATCGCTCGGCGTAGACCATGGCGACCTGACCCACGAAAGAACCGATGTTGATCATCATGTAGAAGTACAGATAGATACGGGAAACGGTGGCGGACGGGTCAATGATGACACGCTCACCGGTAGCAAGTGTCGTGACATAGGGTTTGTCTTCGCGATATTGTTCGGCGATCAGGGGGGAGATGTTGGACTTGAAACCACCCGTTCCTACACCCATGATAATAAGACCAATTGAAAAGCATGCAATGGCTCCATTGGGGCTTGCAATCACGTTGGGAATGGCGGAAATGATGAGAATGGTGTGTCCAAGAAGTGCGCAGGCAATCGCGGACAGGATGGTACGGTAACGACCCCAATATTGATCAGCCACCATGGCACCGAAGAGGGGCATAACGTAGGACCAGAACGAGTTGACTGTGCGAGTCACACATATTAGCAATGAACTGAACTCTCGAGACCACATCACTTACATAATGTCAATCCGGTCGAGGCCTGTTGGCCCATTCCCAGAGCTCCGGGTGAATCATTGCTCCAGTTGGAGACACCTGGGACTAGGGCACCGGTGGTGGATCCCGTGGGCAAAGGTCGTTGAATGAAGTTGACGACTAATTCAAGTTAGCCATTTATCCTCTCTCTCTAAGATTGGTAGTCCATACAAACAGCAGTGGTACCGTAGTACGAGAAACGTTCGCACAGTTCCACAAAGGCAACACTGTATGCTGCCATGGGTAGTTTGCCGGCAACACGGCGCAAAGTGGCTAGTTCCTCATCTGTAGGAGAGGTTTTATCCAGAGAATAGTCGCCTTCGATTGACGCATCTCGCAGAGGGGCATTGTCGATGGTCAACTCATCAACCACTGGGCCCTTCTCGTTGATACCGATGGTGTGTGAGACTGCCTTGGACTTAGCAACCTCAGCCACATCGACAGGATCGCTGGCATTCATCGTGGCGGGTTTGGGATCCAGATATATAGTGAAACACACAACAGAAAAAAAAGAAAGAAAAACCTGCGGGAGGGCGAGGTGAAGCACTTATATGGCCCATGGCGTGATTAGCATAACGGCTTAGCTCGAGGTCTCTAAGCGTCTCATTCACGTTCCCCCCTTCTAGGCATTCTAGAATCCCGGAGCAATAGCTGCATTGGGAGATGGCGGACGGTAAAAACCGTCAATAGCCGGAAGAGACCCTGCGTCGAGTACTTTTCTTAGATTACGCCTGTCAGGACGATGGGTGGCTCTCATGCTGAGATTCGGCCTCATCCGGTCTGAGCGCTTGGGACGATAAGCAAAGTCCGGCTTTTGTTGGAAAGCGCAAGAGATCCCGGAAGCCTAATGGGCGCCAGAACTTGGATCAGCCAATCACCGAGCCGGTGAGGGCTTTGACCCCCCGGTTTTGGGATCCACTTGGTACTACCCGCTGGACTTAGCGCAAACCTAGCTTGTCTTGGCATGGGGCTTGGCACGGCTTGGCCGAGTATCTCCCCGCTTGGCTGGCAAGTTCCATTGTAACCCTGTAGTCTTGGCTATTCCATCTGCCCTATCACAAGCAAGAAGCGGCTGATAACCGAGGTGAGATAGCTGATATCCGAGATATCGTTGTCTAAGATTGATATCGCCTGGTCTGGGACCCAATCATACTTATGTATGGAGTATCTAGGCTTGTGTTAATTAGGCTCAAGGTGAAATTGCCACTACTTTCCCCCTGGAGAAGTGAGACATGGTGTGATTGGCCCCATGTTATGGCAACATCAATTACCCGACTCTTTTACAAACTGCTTTCGCGCATTGCCTCTTGGACCGTCTCTTGGGCCGTCTCTTGGACCGTCGGTGTCCGAGAACCCTATGTACCTCATGACTATCGAGCTGACTACCTATTTAATTGTTGGAAACTATTGGTCTTCCTCGCTGGGCTCACGCGATGCAGTCTTTTGATTGCCCTTCCCCTTTCCCAGTCCGCACATCGTCAGATATTCTAGGGATAATGGTATGTCTCTTTCACCACCGTGTAATAAGTTGTAATATCCGAAATTGCTAGAGTCTTGCAAGTATCCAGTCTGTTATCCGTCAGAACCCTTGTATTTGATGTGAAGGGGCGATCACCCGGCCGATCTCACCATGTACATGGTGTCTAGTCGTACGGTGGAGTGTTACTCGCACTCGAACTGCACGGGTAATTCCTTGACCATTAGGGCGTTCATCTGGCTCCTTGCTCACTTCCACTTTCATACCCTCAAACTCATGAACCCCATGTTTGGCAGATATGTTCACCGCTTCGTGGGTGGCGGGCGACATTCCAACCTTGCCCGCTTACTCTGCATTGACCACTACTACCTCGGTGTTCGTGTGTATTCCACTGGCAGTTGATTGGACGATAATATCACTCCGGCGGTACAAATGTCTGCGTCTGCTGAACTGCACGTAGCCAAGTTATCTTGGCCTGCCTTGTTTTGAGCCCATATCCATCCCCGTCGCGTGACCATATACCTGCGTCCTTGCATTGTCAGATTGTATTCAAATGCCTGCTTTGAGGAGGCTAAAATCGAAGGCAGCATGGATAACCCGGTAAAGCATCTTGGAATTTTCTTTATACTGCTAACCCCTGTTTATCGCATTGGACTAACTGAACATGGGGGCATCGTGTAAACAAAGGTCGGCTCTAGTTGCGATATACCTCGGTTTACCAAGATCTATATATCATCATTTTCTTTTTTTTTTTTCTGATATAATACATCTCAATATCTCCCCCTGAGCCTATTTGGGATCCTTCATCGAATCTCTCAGAGCTGACAACGATCCAGTCGACCAAAACCCCTGTCGATGCTAAACTCGAGGACGGCCATTGCCCGCCATGTCTGTGAAACAACCGAGAAAGCGCCCCCCCCCAACAATCGCATCACCTCCCAGCAAGACTTCCTCCCCATCTTCGGAACTGTACTCATGTCTCGCTGAGCAATCATCCCAGGGGTACCATAGCCGCCGGCCAACTGAGGAATCGTCCATCGCCTCTTACATACTTTCTTGTGAGATCCCGACAAAGTGCCCTCAGTCATACGAAACTATTTCTGAGTTTTGGTCGACTGGATCGTTGTCAGCTCTGAGAGATTCGATGAAGGATCCAAAATAGGCTCAGGGGGAGATATTGAGATGTATTATATCAGAAAAAAAAAAAGAAAATCACAGATGTGACCGTCACAACCTGTTCCTCCCTCAATCTATTCTCGAGTGAAGAACTCCCACTGGTGGGTTGAATAGTAAACAAAGCGAGGCGAAAGTTCCTTTGACTCGAAAAATAATCTCAAATGTCATGATGCAATTCAGCCTTTCAGCCACTCTTCGGCTGGTCACCTGTCGGTTAACCCCCTTCTATTTGGACCGATCAGAGTCCACCATCTTAGGTCTCGAATGCACGGGTAATGAATTACGCTTTCAATTTTATCAACGGGGTAAATCCCTACCTCGATAATACCGATATCCAATTCATCTACTTTGACTCCGAGAATGCGGAAAAGGTCAAGCATCTCAGCGGGTGCCTTTCGCCGCACTTTCGATTGTATCACTCGGTCAAAAAAATCACGAGTGGTTTTCCTGCTGAATGTGAAGGCGTAATCAATCTGCCTTAGTCGCGAGAATCCTTTCAGACGTTGTGGCAAGAGAAGGAGGGGCTGGTAATTGAATTTAGATTCCATGAGAACCATCCTTTCAATGTATAGCAGGGCAATTCGATTGTCATTGCCGACGAAGATGGGCATACTTTGCCAATTCTTCTTTTCCATTGGCAGGATGGCAAAAGTCTTCATCTGAAAAAACAACGGCTTGCCCAACAAGCTGAATCTTCTACATATCCTTGACACGAACTTCCAGTCTTGAAGATGGCGAATTTGGCTTTGATTCCATCGCCATGACCAGTTATTCACAGTGGGACGCATGAAATGGTGCTCGACAGTCCACTCTTCGTGCAGCAGTTTCCGCAAAGATAATGGCCTGTTTAACATAGATATTGCACGTTTCCCCTGAGACTTCACGCGTGTTCTCACGCAATACTGTAAACAGAAAGGAATCTCGTTGTTGAAAAAAGATACTCTATAATCATTCGGAGAAGTTCATACGGGAGACGATCCATTTTGGCAGTGAGTGATAGAACTAATAGAATCGGGATACACGTAGGCCGCGCCTATATAAGTTCAATAAGCACGTGTAATATGCACGTAATGACACCTGAGTTTCCGAAAAAGCCAATCATTGACTTGAAGCGCTCATCATGAATAGTTCACACTGACCTGAACAATGCAGTATATTCGATATTTGTTGGTCAACGTGAATAAACTCAATCTTGCCCAAGAAACGAGCCGTCATGACCACCCAGGCACATCCTCGTGGCCATGACGGGATTGGGGATGAGAAACTTATATGCGAGATGGATTTACCTCGATACATCGCAGGTATGGGGGTTTCCTAGGGGCCACGATCTCTTTTCATGTCTCTCATATCACGCAGACCTGCTGATACAGAGTATGATACAGAAGCAATCAAAATGTCAAAACCAACCTATTGAGTTCATTCGGTGAGAGAGCTCTTCCCACCTCATGTGCCATTGGCCTATTTGCCTAGAAAAGCAGGATATTCCCCCGAAAAAGTACCTTTTAACTCACACGGTGTCATGGTGGGAAATGGATATGCCCCTTGTATCGGTCAAGTAGGCCCGGTCGGAACATTATTTATCCGACGTGCATTCCTCTCGGCGGCCACCTGCAAATCTTCTCGGCAGATTATGCTATCCAAGCACCGTTGCTACACATGGTATACATGGGAAAGATTCTTTGCGCCCATTATCATCGCATGGCTAGTGCACCGGCTGATCTGCCGCTTGAATTTGCGGCTATGTTTCTTCCACTGCACCTCAGTTGCCAGCAGCACAGAGTGCCGAAGGTACTATCTTTGCTCTATATCAGAACAATTTGACGACTACCGATCGTATCCTCGACTATCTACAGAACCTATTTTTCTTCGACGCCTCGCGACAACAGCTTACAGATTTCGTCGCCACCTACCAAGATAACGAAGAAGACGGCTCACCCTTCCGCACGGGATTCGCTTACAACTGGTACATATAAACGACTGGCCGCCATCCTGGGCGATGTCTCTTCCACCCTCATGCGCCGGGCATTCATAAACTACGCCCCCAAAGCGAAACAAGATGTTCCTTCGTGGTCATATCTATCCTCGTATTATCATGGTCTTCCCTTCCTAGGGACTTTTCACGGATCCGATATTGTGCAGATGTTCTATGGGGTCCTACCAAACTACGGATCCAAATCTCCACACTCATACTGCTTGTCGTTTGTCTATGAGCAGGACCCCAATGCAAAGGCTAGAGATTATATGCATTGGCCACAATGGGGTAATAACCAGTCGCTGATGAATTTTTCCATCGACCGTGGTGCCCTCATGCCGGATGACTTTCATCAGGATAGTTATGAACAGATCATGGCGATCCTGCCGCGTTCTATATGGGAATACAAGGGAGCACAAGGGAGTATATTAGGAGCTTCACGAATTATGTTTATATTAACCTAGGATCTGATCTGGGATTTGGTCTGCACGGTTGTGCTCATAAAATTTAGGCGGTTATTAATGACATTCGCAAAATTCAGGGATGGATTCATCGATCTCTAAGCAAAATCTGTCATCAGGACTAACTCCCAATTCAGTTCCAGCTCGCCGTCACAGTGGCTGTACTTCCAGAACACCCAGTCGGCACCGTATAAGACCGATTATGATCGCTTTCCCACGTTGCAGCTGCAGATCCGGCTGTCTTCTTGAGGAATTTGTGCTGGATGGTCATTCCGACGAGGCGTGTGATACTTGTACATCTCCATCAGCTGGGTGCCAGATGAATACCCGCTCCAACTTGTTGACAATGTGTAGGAGGATCCGGATAACCCGGCGTTGGAAAGCACTGTAGTGACCGGCGAGCTGCCCGCCTTATTTGTTTGCGGCCATGAACAAAGCGAGACATGTGCGTTGGTGAAGTTCTTAGATGAATCAACGGAGTTAGCAGCCAGACCCGATTTATACCTTCGACTTGTATTGCCGTTATCTCATCTAGGTCAGCATAAGACAAGCTTTTGTTCACGGTAATATACACCGATGTAGGCTTTGCCTAGTTCAAACCCAATCGGTTAATTAGAGCAGACGAAAAGTTCCAAATTCCTTTCAGAGAACCATGGCAGCCAAGAAATGTCGCGTCCAACTCACATGTAAGCCGCCTTTCACCAAAGTGCTAGTTCCGAGGCAGATCTGCCGGGCTGGTGACGGGGATAATTTAACCTGGTGATTGGTGGATATCAGCCACCACCCCGGATTATGCGGTGAAAATGACAAGGGGCGGAGATTCAACGGGATCAAATATTGGGGGTGAAGTTGATTCTAACGTGGCTGATCTAAGCGATTGGGATGAAGATCAATGGTCGGACAGTAAGACCTCCATCTGTCTCGGGAGATATTCGATCCGCCTGCTGAAGAGAGTAATGATAGGCCGGACATTTGAAGAGTTAGCAATGAAGCCCTCGAGTAGCGCTGGGATTATATTCCAAGCTGACGGTGATGTAGCGGGGAAATATTGGACCTCTGATTGACGGCATTTCTCTCGCCCCGGAGCTCATTGTCTCTGAAACAATGTGCTGTCATGCAAGTCCCACACAAGTGCATTGATCTGCCTTGGAATTCCAAGTGCGTTGAATCCACTTGCCTGTCCCCGCTATAAAAGCAGGTGCGGCCCCCACAATAATCCCAAACCAACTTACCTTCTGACACCATGATGGCTTCTCACTTTTGGGCTGCTCTTTGGGTGCTTACTCTTGGCTACGCTGTTGTAGCTGCACCACAGATATTGGTCCCTCGTGCGACAGGCAGTCTGGACACCTGGTTGGTGTCTGAGACAGCAGTGGCAAAACAGGGTATCCTCGATAACATTGGATCTGCTGGTGCCTATGCTGCGACTGCAAAGCCTGGCATTGTAGTCGCCAGCCCGAGTACCTCCGACCCTGACTGTAAGTATTGGATAGCTATTTATGGCAGCGGAAAACTAACTTAACTGGCCTACAGACTACTATACTTGGACTCGTGACTCGGCTCTGGTGTTCAAAACTCTGGTCGATATGTTCAAGAACGGTGACAGCGGGTTGTTAGATATTATTGAAGAATACATTGATGCGCAGGCCTATATCCAGACGGTATCCAATCCATCTGGAGATCTTTCTGGCGGCAGTGGATTGGGGGAGCCTAAGTTCAACGTCGACGAGACAGCCTTCACTGACTCTTGGGGTCGTCCTCAGCGTGATGGACCGGCCTTGCGAGCCACTGCATTGGTCTCGTTTGGCCAATGGCTCATTGTATAAAACCCCGAATCTGTTGGCTTTTGCATTGCTAACCCATTTAGGATAATGGGTACACCACTTACGCGACCAACATTGTCTGGCCCGTTGTGCGCAACGATCTCTCCTATGTTGCCCAATACTGGAATCAGACTGGATTTGGTTATTATACCTCAAAATTTAGTTGCGCGCATTTCTAATACCCTATAGATCTCTGGGAAGAAGTTTCTGGCTCATCGTTCTTTACTGTCGCAGCTCAGCATCGCGCCTTGGTGGAGGGAAGCACGTTCGCAAGCCAGGTTGGTTCCTCGTGTTCGTACTGTGACTCTCAGGCCCCAGAGGTCTTGTGCTTCCTACAGTCTTTCTGGACTGGGTCTTATATCCTGGCCAACTTTGGTGGTGGCCGCTCTGGAAAAGACGCCAACACGCTACTCGGCACCATTCAAACTTTCGACCCAGAGGCCGGATGCGATGACACCACATTCCAGCCTTGCTCAGCTAGAGCACTCGCAAACCACAAAGTTGTGACTGATTCATTCCGGGCGATCTATCCTGTCAACTCTGGTATTGCTGCGGGCAAGGCTGTTTCTGTTGGTCGATACCCGGAGGACACATACTACAATGGTAACCCTTGGTACCTATGCACATTGGCTGCGGCCGAGCAGTTGTACGATGCGTTATATACGTGGAAGCGTATCGGTTCTTTGACAATCACCTCTGTCTCTCTCGGCTTCTTCCAGGATCTGTACAGCTCCGCTGCGACCGGTACCTACTCCTCGTCCAGTGATGCATACACCTCGATTCTGAGCGCTGTCACGGCATATGCGGATGGATATTTCAGTATTGTGGTATGTTGCATGCCATCGACTATTGACCACCTCAACTGACAGATATCCTAGGAACAATACGCTACATCCAATGGCTCCTTGTCTGAGCAATTCTCCAAGTCAGACGGCTCGCAACTCTCGGCTCGTGACCTGACTTGGTCCTACGCAGCCCTGCTTACCGCCAATGACCGTCGGAATGCGATAGTTCCTGCACCATGGGGTGAGATATCTGCCAGCAGTGTACCTGGCCAATGCCAGTACACTTCGGATGTTGGTACTTTCAGCAGTGCAACAAACACCGCCTGGCCAACCACTTTGACTAGTAGATCAGGCAGCGGAACTACTACCACTACGTCTGCGAAGACAACCTCGACCACAGCACCATGCACTACTCCAACAGCCGTTGCAGTGACATTCAACGTGATTGCCACTACTGTGTATGGCCAGAACATCAAGCTTGCTGGATCTATCTCCGAGCTTGGCTCCTGGCTCCCAAGCAGTGCTATTGCGCTGAGCTCTTCTTTGTACACTACGAGCAACCCTTTGTGGTTCGTGACTGTGACACTTCCAGTGGGCACTGGGTTTACCTACAAGTATATCCAGGTGGCGAGTGATGGCACTATTACATGGGAGAGTGACCCGAACCTGTCATACACTGTTCCCGCCACGTGTGGTACCACAGCTGTCACGATTAGTGATACCTGGAGGTGATAACTGAAGTTTTGGATACCTCAATTGAAGATTGTGCATGCTTTATTCCTTCTATCGTCGTAGAATAGCACCATCATAATGAGTGTTTATTTGAGTATTAGCTGTTCGAACACAACCACCGCGTGTCCATTGTGTAGGCGCTGCCGTTTGAACTATTATCTGATCGGGCTAACCTTACCGATAGGCTGGTACGGTGATGCGGCCATCACATCATAATTATATCAAAATAGCGAATAAATCGCCGCAGGACGTAATGACGGAGGGATGATGTGTGAGGACTCCATATAAGATCAAATCGAGAGCCGATGAAACCTGAAATCAAGTTCTTTATTGTCACTCCGTTAAAAACGTCTTAGTCAAACCAACATGTCGACAACAGAGGAAAGAGTGAACGAAATGCGTGGGTACAAGGCGTAAGTACTCACTTTTGTGATACCCATGAGCATATCTAATTAGCAAGCTTATCTTTTATAGCACGCTGAGCAACCCGAGAGTTTCAGAACAGGCAAAGCAGCATGCACACGACAGGCTTAATGAGCTCGGCGGTGATAAGCCTCGCGAGGAACTATTTCAGGCAAGAGGCGATCGGAAGAAAGACCCAACGAGGGTCGCAGCTGGGTATAAGGCGTGAGTATAAGTGTTGGGATGTTCTTCGCATATGCTAATTGGCCTATATAGCGCGCAGCACAATCCTAACGTGACTGAGGCCGGGAAGAAGAAAGCTACTGAGGAGCTACACGAAACTATTCCGGAGGAGTAGAAACCTTTTGGTTGGCTACCTGATCTGTAATTCTAAGTGTGAAAGTATATGTTGGTGTCACAATGTGATATACGTTCCAATGTTATATAAGGCAGTGACCTGCACAGAACAGACGATGCGTTACTATAGGAGACTGGCATACTTTGTAGCGGGTTTATATTTGGATTGCATATAGTTATGAAGTTCCGATGAACGGAATCTAGATTTGATGGCGCGTAATAAACAGCCCGCTGAATGACGCCAAAAGCGAAAAGCCAAGGGAAACAACTATAGCACGTCAGTGGAAGATACCAAATGCGTTAGAATCCATCAACCCACGATATGTATGCTTAAGTCCCAAAACATAGCAAGCCACCACAGTCTCCCGCAGATGGCCACTTAGGTGCGCGATATAGTTTGTATCAGCCATCGCACGTTGAATAACCTAGAGCAATTAACATCAGACCAAATTAGCTTCGCCAAGAAAGTGCGTACCTTCTCCGAGCCAGGTCCGTTAAGATTAAGCCTCAACTGCCGCTGGAACTCCATCCCTAGAACAGAATTGGACGTAGTCACACCCGCCGTCATGGAAAATCCCACAATAAGCATATATCCCGCCGTCGCCATGGCAATTTCCTCAACTGGCAGCATGGCAGACATGGCAATAAACGATGAGGCTGATGCGATTCCCGTGCCAAGTCCACCGGGAAGAATAAATAGTGACTCCCAGAAGCCGCTGTGTCCATCCCAGCGGAGGTAAAGGAGCAGGTAGGAAATGGCGGCAACTAGACCGCCGATGACGAGCATAATTTTGAATTGTCCCGTGCGCCGAATGAATATCCCCACTACTAATCCGCCGAGAGTATTTCCTATCACTGCTGGAATGAGATGCACGCCCGCTACTGTGGTCGATGCGCGCTGTGTTACTTGAAAATATAGTGGGACAGAGAACATCATTCCCAGCTGCGCGGAGATCTGAAGAGCGCCGATTATGTATGCCATTGATACGTTCGTGCGCCGGAGAATGCGGAGGTTGAAGATCGGTTCGGGGGCTATGTAGGCTTCCACGAGCACAAAGGTGACCAGGAGTAATGCCCCCCCGCCTGCTAGGAGGACTGTCCACCATGAGCTCCACGGGAAGGACTTCCCGCCCTGGTCGAGGAGTGTGGTCATTGCGATAATGGATGAGCCTAGCAGTCCGGTTCCGAGGAAATCGACCTGGGCGAGTTTGTTCACTTTGGTGGAGTTTGTTTTCTCACCGACGTTCAGTTTAACAACCACGAGAGCTGCAGCCAGAGCGAGGAACGGAGCTTGTAGGATGAACAACCTGGGATGTGGTCAGAAAATACATACAGCTATCGGATAAGTGGAAACTCACCATCTCCATCCGATGGTATCGCTCAGCCAACCACCCAACGGACCTCCCAGACTACGTCCAAGCGTCATGGCAATGTTCACATATGCTCTCCAAGTAGCGACCTCGCGCTTTGGAACAATATCTGTGATGATAATGGAGCTGATGGTCATGATTCCGGCACCGCCCATTCCGCTGATCGCGCGACCGAAAACCACCACCCACATTCGGGTTCCGATGCCGCTATACATGATCAGATTTGCATTTCGGCTGTTGGATCAGGATTTTGCCTACCTCAATATACAGCCAACTGCGAATAACAGATATGAGAGCAGCAACATTGGCTTGCGACCGTAGATATCACTCAATTTTCCATACTGGGCGATAATCAGACCTTGATATGTCTCCGGTGCGGGTCACGCCCACTCACCATTGGTTGTGCAGCACAAAGACCCAACGTATAGCCCGTTGAGAGCCAACTAGCATCGCGCAGACGATTGAATTCGGAGGAGATCCGGCCTGCCGCCGCCATGACAAGTGTCGCATCGGCATTGGAAACGAATTCGCCTATTTTCGATTAGCTCTCCGGTCTTCGTGTATCGCCAATTTTCGTACCGAGCAGAAGCACTGCGATAATTGTCCCAACACCTGCTAATGCTTTGAGCTTAGGCTCTGTATTAGATGGCGGGAGTAATGGACTCTCTTCGTCTTGGGCATGGCTATTGGCATCGATACCCTGGGGTCCTATGTTACCCGAAGGCCCCGACCCAACCGTGTCGCTTTCGATATGGGCCATGTTGTGAATTTAAGAGCGTCGAACTAGAAAATAGCATTGAGGGGGGTGTCACCTGCGGATAAATATTATGCAAGGTTTAGCTAAGTTGTGCTCATCGGAGTGATAAAGCACGCCATATATAAGATCCACGCGTACTTCACGAACGGAAGAATACATACGATGTTTTATAAAATGAATATAATCTTTTATCTAGTCAACGTATTCCGTACGATCATGGCTGGCGTGTTAACTCACCCCCAGTCGACCCCACAATGAGAATAAAGTGGTTAGTGCCCCCCCCCCCCCCAAGGATAAGAATTGTCGAGCTTCTGGAGAAGGTTGAGAAGATTCCCATACGCATGCGGATGAACTTTGGAACTAAGATTGATTGGAATAAACCAATGCTATCCTATTCTTGCTAGATGGCTACCAGACTGTATAATCCAGTCCATCTTCTCCGCAACATGCAGTCGATTACGGTAAGGGACAAGTGACGATCCGAGGAACCGATAGTATCCCGATCGAGCTAGATACCGCACTTGCTCCAATCGAGTGTTTGGAAGAGCTGCCAGTGATATGCATTGATGAAGAAGGAGTGGACGAGATCCTTCAACGAGTGATCGATGATCCAGAGGATATCGAGGAGCTCTCCGATCAGGAGGGTTTCTAGGAGCCCCGATGACCCACCCTCGATCGGACGGGGCAGACGTTCGAAATATCCGAGGGACCCTCGCTTGTCCTGATACAAGAGAGAAGTTGCTTCTGCAAAATCACCGGAACCCATATTCCTACAGAAGACCAGAGACATCGATAAGACAACACGAATATTCATACAAGAAGAGTCCGAAAGATCGAAAAATCATGAAAAAGAAGACAATCTCAAAGAAACGCTCGACCTCTGAGCCTCCGGCGCCTTCCGTCGCCCAGGCCCAGATGAACCTGGAGAAGTAATCTATCACGACGAGCACATATCTTGCCCCTATGGAACACTGAGGCTTTATCGGCCCGAGGAAATCCATCCCAATCATGTTCAGAGGCTCTAGCTCTTGAATACGTCGAGACGGCCCCGCAGTCGGTTTCTTCGAAAAGAATTGACATGCTTCACATGTCCGCACAGAGTTATTTCTGGTCGGGCCGTCCTGGTCGTCTGCGGGAGGAGTGCTGATCCACAGTGGGTGTGGGTTAGACTTCCACTGATGGATGGATGCTTAATATTCCTAGGATAGTTCTTTCTTTGTAAGAATAAACACCGCTCGAAGGCAGTCGCTCAGAAGGCGGTCCCCCCCCCTTTCTGCCAGTCGTATCGATATTTCCCCAGTGTCCTCGGCCGCGCGGGCCGGATTCAGGTTTTAGAGGCTATACCGCGAGATGTCAGCCAGTGTACAAAGCCCCCAGTAGTGTTTCAAGAATTGAGAGTTGCCATGAGAGTTGCCATGAGAGTTGCCATGAGAGCTTCCATGAGAGCTTCCATGAGAGTGAACAGGACAGGGATCATGATCTTCAACTTACGGGGTTGCCTCCCTCGCCTTCGCCTTCCCATTCTACCTCAGGGCGTAGAACAAGAGGCCCAAACAATCGCTCATCACAATGCTTATGACGACCCAAATCTTCCATGTCTGCCACACTATTCAAGAACCATGACCTGTACTGTCTCATTGTCAAGAAAATTATCCTTGTGCAAGCGAGAAGGGCGCTTGCTCTTCAGCCACCTAAGGTAGGTGGCATCACATGTCGCTATATTGATAGATAGCTCAATGCCATCCTGAGCGATAACGAAATGACTATATTTTATAATGTTAGCATTTCTAGCCTAGGCCAGTTGAGGGTATAAAGAGGACTCCTACCGGCGAGTGATGACACTTTCGCCCATCACGCCCATCAGTACTCTGGCAGGGTGTCCAGGTGCCTTTCATCGACGGGTACCTCGCGCCGAGGAACGTGAGAAAAGCCACTAGGACCATATTCACGGATTTCTCGTCGATGAGCGCCTTACGCTGCTTCTTAGAGCAAGCTAGATGTGAGCCGATAGCCACCGAGACCCGATGCTGCTCAATGGCTACAATCTCAAAGATTGCACTTCCCCAGGGGTCTTGGTCCACCCATTTAGGGTCACATTTTTTGATACCGTTCCCATTGGCGACTTGCTGGAGGTAGGAGGTAAAAGGGGGGAAATTTCGCAGCCATTCACGCGCGTCTGTGAAAAGTGTATCCTAGTTTAATGTGATTCTGGAGCTGGGGCTGAGTCTAGAGCGGTAGTACAATAACACTCGCATTGATCTTGTTGGTTTGGATGTTGGTCGTTCCCTGAAAGACTAACTCCCTGTCTCCAGTCGACCCATGCTTGAGGGACTCGGGAGAAAATTATCGTCGGCGGCATCTTGACTATAGTGGATCCAATCGTGTTAATAACAGAAACGGCAGAGAAATGCAGAGTAATAATACCTAGCAAGATAGACAGAGAAAGTTGGATAGGGAACTTCTCGACCGATGGAAGAAAATCAACCATAGTGTGGAAGTGACATAGAGTGCACCTCACCCATCATTCCGGGTTTTATCTTCAGGTTGACTTGTATGCTTTTATTTCTCTCTCTCTCCCCCAGTAGCCTCAAAACACCCTGATAATATAGTTACTCTCACTTCACTTCAAGCTCACTTCATCACCAACCATCAACGATCAACCACCATCCACCACTTCGAACTCTCCATCACAGACTCTCCTCCGGACCTACTTATCCACTCAATTATGGCTACGCTAACATACTGGCCACGGAGTAGCGAACAATCGGAGCAAAAACAAAAGCGACAAGGGACAATGAAATTTGAAGATTGGCTAGAGAATCAGACAAACGAACACTCGTATTTGCCTAGTTGACATTGGATTGCTTCGAACATTAAATGAATCCCACAATACTACAACTGTAGCGGCTAGGTTATTAGCAATATTAAGAGTATAGTAGTATGTACACTGCATAGTAGTAGTTTTTCAAAAGCGACGCCGTATTCCATACAGAATTGACAGTGCATATTCATTTGAACGTCTCGACTTATTGTAAATTTAATATTATTTTAAGCAGAGCCCTTGAGGTTCATACTCTCACACAGAACTGAATAAAAAACATCTCAGCGACGACGCGAGCCTTGCATTTTATCCAGCTTTGCCAGAATTCCCACCGCACCTACAGCCCCGTATCCACCCTCCCTCCAGCAGGTCTCGATAATATCCCGGGCCCAGATTTGCTTGCCCAGGGCGGGAAGCATATCCCGGGATGGAAACCTAGCGACAGAGTCATCACTACCACCGTGGAGATAGAGGCTGACACTAGTCCGTCTCCCGGTGGCAATCTCGTAGAACACGATGCCTAGCTGGCAGAGATCCGTCCAGATAGAGCAATTATAATCATCCACCGCGTCTGCCATGACGGCGTCGATGGGCATGATACTCGACGCACCAAGGTCACAAATTGCGACATTCAATGAACCATCCAGCAGAATGTTACGGCTGAGAATATCACTGTGAATGACGCAAGATTGGTGAAGATTATGAAGGCCGATGGCAAGCTGGCGAAACCACCGCTTCTGAAGCTCGATGCTGGGTCGTGCCCTGTGCCGCAGCCACTTTGACAACGTACCTCCGGACATGTATCTCATCTCGATGGTACCTCCAGGGAGGTCGAGGCAATGAACGATCCCTTCCACTGGGGTATTGAAGTTGGGCTGAAGACGCCGCCAGACTTCTTGCTCTCGTCGGATCTTGCTCCGGTTCTGTTCCACTTCCTCCAACGTATTATTCTTGTACACCACTGCCATTTTGATTGCCACGTCCTCTCGTTGGACAACAACTGCTGCGTCGCCAGTCGCAAGTATTGTATGAGGCTTTATGTAGTGACCCTCATCGTCGATAAGGTGATACAGAGCCCTCATTTGGGTGATGTGAAAGCGATTTGGGGGAATTGCTGCCGGTGGTCAATGTCTTCGATGGGAGTAGAATTTCCGGGGAACTGTTTCTTTTTGTTTAGATGATCTAGCTAGCAAATGATTAGTTAGTTATGATGTATAATTCCGTCAGAAGGAGAGGTCCTACCTGTAGTCAATGTATGTATTTGGTCTTGCTTTCGACAAACAGCCAAAGTTCGGAGACTCGCTCGCAGAGGCCCGTGGAGTGAGTTCTCTGATTTGAATGGAAGGACCGTGGAACCTGAACAATTGGAATTTGACCCTGTGCGATTGCTTAGACTGGGATCATAGCCTCTCGGGGATGCTTGAAAAGAGGTGATATAAAGTCAAGAAACCGCCAAAGGATGCTTGGTTGAAACTGGAATTGGTGGCGACGATTTGATGGCGACAAAGAATGAAAGCGAGATGAATGAAAGGGAGATCAATGAGAGATGGTGCCTTTGACAAGATGAGTCGCAGCCCATTCATCGCTGTCTCACAAAAAATCCATGTTCTCCTTTCCTTCTTTAGAGAGGATTGAGGGTGAACTGCCCAGACAAGGCATACTTGGATGCTTGGAACTGGGCAAGATTGCACTGAAAACACATCGTAGTTGAACCTGGAAAATGGTCAGCGGGAATCATCTTAATACGTGAAATCGCAAAGTATTGAACAATATTCAAATTGAACTCTGCTCACTTGATGTAATAATAACATGTAGTTGGTCTCAAGACGAGGAGTGCTTAGCTGCCAGTATATATATTCATAGAGGATAAAGAAAGGATAAAGAAAGGTAGTGGCCCCTCGGGTTGAGAGTCAAAGCAAACAGGCAAGCGATGGATCGAGGACCTTGGCAGCAAAAAGACAGATGTATAAATTATTACTACTTTCCACTTCCTTCATGATCATAATATGCATATATACAGCGTTGGTTGCTGTTCTCATCTATTTTGAATCTAACTGCTTCTATAAATTGTCTCAAAACGCCCATCACTTGAACTGAATTTGGCGCACATATTCATCACTCATTCATAATTGATCGATTCACTGCTCGTGCGTAAGAACATAGCGGTAACGAGCATCACCATTCTCCATATCGACGATGGCCTGGTTCGCATCCTTCATTGGGCGCTCCTGGATCCAAGGCTTGACGCCCTTGGCAACAGCTAACTCTAGCATCTCCCGGATCTCACTAGGACTACCGATAAACGAGCCACCAAGCTTGAGGCCCTTACTGATGAGCAGGGATGCCGGGATCTCAAGAGCGCCATCCTCGGGGACACCAAGCTGAATAAAGGTGCCGTGGAGACGGAGAAGTCCACAGTACTGGACAATAGGCATCTTAGAAGAGGAAGCAGTGGAGATGATCAAGTCGAGAGAGCTAGCATTGCGGGTAGCCCAATCCTTATCCTCAGCGGTAGCGATGAAGTCATCCGCACCGAGCTCGATCGCATCGGCCTTCTTATCGGATTTGCGGGAGATAGCGACGACGCGATCAGCACCGAGTGCCTTAGCCAACATAATAGCAAAGTGACCGAGACCACCAATACCAATGACACCAACGGACTTTCCAGGGCCGCATCCATTTCGCTTCAGAGGCGAGTAGGTAGTAATACCACCGCAGAGCATAGGTGCTGCATCGGCAGAGGAGATTCCATCCGGGATCTTGATAACGAAGTGCGAAGGAGAGCGGTTGTATGTGGAATAGCCGCCGTACGATGTCCCACCGTTGGCATAGGTACCGTTGTAAGTCATGACCATATTATCGCAGTGTTGTTCGAGGCCATTCGCACAAGGCCCACACTTCCCGTCCTTGTTCTCGCATGAGCCGCTCTGCGCGCCAACACCGACACGGTCACCGATCTTGAGATCTCCCTCGGCCTGTGATCCGACGCGGACAACTGTTCCGACGACTTCGTGGCCGACACAGCAAGGGTAGTTGGTGGCACCCTGTGGAAGCCGGTGTTAGCAACTGTATTCGATGCGAATATGTTCAAAATGAATGTGCCATACCCATCCATCTGCCCATCCACTGCGCAGAGTGTGCAAATCCGAGCCACAGATACCACAGTGAGTGACCTTGATATCGATATCATTCTCCTCCCATGGCTTCGGCTCGAATTCCTGCCAAACCATCTTTCCTTCGGCGGCTTCAGGGCCAAGGCCTACCCAGCCTTCGAACTTGTAATCGGTGGAAGACATAATAAAAATGTATATTTGGGTTCAACGGTTTCTGAATTCAATGGATGAGATCGACAAGCCATTCCTGCAGGGTCCTCCACTATTTAAACCACCTACACGGAGAGATCAGGGTCCGTCTCGGAGCGTTATTATGTGGCGACGTGGTCAGCAAGTGAAGAAAAGGTCCACTCGACCCGTCGAGTGGATTGTTAGTGGATTTTCATGCGTGGGTTGTCACCACGGTCTTGAATTATTTGCCGGCGAAGAGATTTCATTTGGAGGCAAATACGTTGTAAATCACCGGCAGCGGGGGGAGGGAGGATAGAGTAAGGCATACCGTAGACAATATCATATCCAACCTACACCCGTGGACGTTTTCCCACACGTATATCCTCCATGTTTACCTTCTCTGAGGAGTTACTGCTTTACTTCCAAGTATGCATGACGTCAGACATAAACCCACTAAGCCCCTGGCTTACGCCGACTTATACCCGACAAGCTTATCTTGTACTGGTCGGGTCCATTAGGTGCCTAGTTTCAGAAAAGAATGAAAAATGCTTTTGATTCGACATGATTCTGTTTTAGTGGAGAATCTTCGCAGGTTTTCATAGCCAATTCTATCAAGCTTTCGCATCCACTCCATCCGAAGGAACCGCTTTTTGCCGGCGGAAATAATATTGGACACAAAGGACAAGAGCTATGACCCATGAGGCACCAGCAAGGGAGCAAATTGCGGTCAGACCATGCAAGTACTTCGGCGCGTCGGAAGTGCGGAAGATCTGCGAGCCAGAAATACCAGCACAGTTGGCAGCCATTATCACCAACGCCATGGCAACGCTTCGTTCCTGGGGTGTCCGGCAGTAGAATGACAGCCAACCGACATTCAAAATACTAATATCTGGTCAGGGTGGGTTATAGACACGAGGGGTAGGGAACTCACTGCATGCTGCAGTAGGAAATATTAGCGATAGCAATAACGCCGTACCGGTGCCATAGCGAAGCGTGGGTATTACTTGTACGAAGACAAGCATAGGAAATTACATTCCAAGTGATAGCTAGGAGCACAAAGGGTCCACGGTGTCTCGTTTTGTCTCTGTCGGCAGTTAGAATCCGTCTCGTGGGCATAATGGTCATAGTAAGCACTCACGCAGCAAAAGACAGAGCAATCAGCCAGATCATGCTGCAGTAGACAGGAACCGAAGCTAAAGCGTTCGCCTTAACGGCA